AGCCTTGATGCAAACCTTTGCACTTTCTCTAATTTCTTGACGTGCTTGACTAGGTGTGGATTCCAAACTGGTGCTGCATACTCCAGTATGGGCCTGACGTAAATGGCATACAGAGTCTTGAACGTGTGTGTGTGTGTGTGTGTGTGTGAGTCTCAGTAGTACCAGTTACCAGTAACCAGTTACCAGTAGATGACTCACTACCAACCGTCTGTGTGAATCACTGACTGTTATTCACGTTGCTGCTGACCATAGCATGTTTTTGAACACCGCTCACCCCCTAGGCTTCACTGGTGGGTCAGTCTTAAGATAGAGAGCAGAGGGGCAGAGCGGGTGATGGTGTTTCCCATACTTTCCGTTATAATTATACGTACTAACCAGCCTACGTGAGTGTTCTTACCCAATTCACGTTATCGAACCCCCACATGACGTGTGTGAGTGTGTGTGTGTGTGTGTGTGAGTGTGTGTGAGAGTGTGTGTGAGAGTGTGTGTGAGAGTGTGAGTGTGTGTGAGTGTGTGTGTGTGTGTGTGTGTGTGTGAGTGTGTGTGTGTGAGTGTGTGTGTGTGAGTGTGTGTGTGTGTGTGTGTGTGTGTGTGTGTGTGTGTGTGTGTGTGTGTGTGTGTGTGAGAGTGTGTACTCACCTAGTTGTACTCACCTAGTTGAGGTTGCAGGGGTCGAGTCCAAGCTCCTGGCCCCGCCTCTTCACTGATCGCTACTAGGTCACTCTCCCTGAACCATGAGCTTTATCGTACCTCTGCTTAAAGCTATGTATGGATCCTGCCTCCACTACATCGCTGCCCAAACTATTCCACTTACTGACTACTCTGTGGCTGAAGAAATACTTCCTAACATCCCTGTGATTCATCTGTGTCTTCAGCTTCCAACTGTGTCTCCTTGTTACTGTGTCCAATCTCTGGAACATTTTGTCTTTGTCCACCTTGTCAATTCCTCTCAGTATTTTGTATGTCGTTATCATGTCCCCCCTATCTCTCCTGTCCTCCAGTGTCGTCAGCTTGATTTCCCTTAACCTCTCCTCGTAGGACATACCTCTTAGCTCTGGGACTAGTCTTGTTGCAAACCTTTGCACTTTCTCTAGTTTCTTCACGTGCTTGGCTAGGTGTGGGTTCCAAACTGGTGCCGCATACTCCAATATGGGCCTAACGTACACGGTGTACAGGGTCCTGAATGATTCCTTATTAAGATGTCGGAATGCTGTTCTGCAGCAGTCATTTGGTTGATGTGTGCTTCAGGAGATGTGCCTGGTGTTATACTCACCCCAAGATCTTTTTCCTTGAGTGAGGTTTGTAGTCTCTGGCCCCCTAGACTGTACTCCGTCTGCGGTCTTCTTTGCCCTTCCCCAATCTTCATGACTTTCCACTTGGTGGGATTGAACTCCAGGAGCCAATTGCTGGACCAGGTCTGCAGCCTGTCCAGATCCCTTTGTAGTTCTGCCTGGTCTTCGATCGAGTGAACTCTTCTCATCAACTTCACGTCATCTGCAAACAGGGACACCTCAGAGTCTATTCCTTCCGTCATGTCGTTCACAAATACCAGAAACAGCACTGGTCCTAGGACTGACCCTGCGGGACCCGCTGGTCACAGGTGCCCACTCTGACACCTCGCCACGTACCATGACTCGCTGCTGTCTTCCTGACAAGTATTCCCTGACCATTGTAGTGCCTTCCCTGTTATCCCTGCTTGGTCTCCAGTTTTTGCACCAATCTCTTGTGTGGAACTGTGTCAAATGCCTTCTTGCAGTCCAAGAAAAGGCAATCCACCCACCCCTCTCTCTCTTGTCTTACTGCTGTCACCATGTCATAGAACTCCAGTAGGTTTGTGACACAAGATTTCCCGTCCCTGAAACCATGTTGGCTGCTGTTGATGAGATCGTTCCTTTCTAGGTGTGTGTGTGTGTTGTGTGTGTGTGTGTGTGTACTCACCTAGTTGTACTCACCTAGTTGAGGTTGCGGGGGTCGAGTCCGAGCTCCTGGCCCCGCCTCTTCACTGATCGCTACTAGGTCACTCTCCCTGAGCTGTGAGCTTTATCATACCTCTGCTTAAAGCTATGTATGGATCCTGCCTCCACTACATCGCTTCCCAAACTATTCCACTTACTGACTACTCTGTGGCTGAAGAAATACTTCCTAACATCCCTGTGATTCATCTGTGTCTTCAGCTTCCAACTGTGTCCCCTTGTTACTGTGTCCAATCTCTGGAACTTCCTGTCTTTGTATGGGTGGTATGGGTGTGTGTGTGGTGTGTGTGTGTGTGTGTGTGTGTGTGTGTGTGTGTGTGTGTGTGTGTGTGTGTGTGTGAGTTTGTGCGTGAGTGTGTGCGCATGAGTGTGTGCGCATGTGTGTGTGTGTGCACGAGTGTGTGTGCATGAGTGTGTGCGTGAGTGTGTGTGCGTGAGTGTGTGCGTGTGTGTGTGTATGTGTGTGTGCATGTGTGTGTGTGCGTGTGTGTGAGAGTGCGTGTGTGTGAGAGTGCGTTGTGTGTGATTCTGTGTGTGTGAATGCGTGTGTGAGAGTGCGTGAGTGTGCATGTGTGTGTGAGTGTGTGTGTGTGTGTGAGTGTAAGTGTGAGTGAGAGAGAAAAGCAAATGTCTGAGAGAAAGATTAAGGGAGAGCAAAAAAGAATGGGAGGGAGAAAAAGAGAGAGAATATCTCACAGTAGATAACAGGGTTTTTCAACTACCACTTGCTTTTCCTTAAAAATTTCTTGTCTGAAAGACATTTCTGTGTCTGGGTTTATAATATTTTTTTACCACTTGCTTTTCCTTAAAAATTTCTTGTCTGAAAGACATTTCTGTGTCTGGGTTTATAATATTTTTTCCCTTAACTATGTCCAGGCTGTTTGTGTTCCTCAGGGTTGTGTTCTTAGCACCACACTGTTTCTACTTGCTGTCAGTGACCCTGCCTTTTTTCTTCTATCTAATATTTCATCTTGTGTCTTTGATTTTGCTATAGCTTGCACAGGTGTTAACTGCCACCTAGTAGGAGCCTCTCTCCAGAATGTTATTGACCATGTTTCCCACTGAGCCACCACTCATAAATTTAAATTTTCTGTTACTAAACACACGATGCTCTTAGGTTAAGTTAGGTAAGATTTGTCATGAAATAGGACAAGTGTTTCAAATAGGACAAGTGTTTCCTGATGTGGGTCTTAGTCATAAGATGACCCACTGCTGGAGCTTTTGGTCATTTGACTGAGGCCTTTTGCTGGCCCACCCCTTTAAAAATTATTGTTTCATCAAGATGCTCTGTTGTTTCTAATGCTCTTTTATACTTGTATGGTACCCATATCCCTGAACAAGATATGGTCAAGTTTCTCAGCCATCTGTTTGATTGATGGATGTCCTGGAAACCTCACACTACCTCCTTGAAAGCAACTTGCCATAGCCAGCTGAACCTCCTTAAAACTCTTGCCCATCTTTCTTGGGGTTTGATAAGATGATCTCTCCTTTGTCTTCATTTTGCCCTAGTTTTATCAAAACTGGATTAAAGTGATTAGCTATGTTCTGCAGCCTCTCCAGCAACTCTTCTAAACTTGATCCCATTCATCATCAAGGTTTGCATTTGTCTAGTGCTTTACATTCCTCCCTGGTTGAGAGCCTGCATGCAGAGGCATATATTCCATCTTTGCACAATTGGCATGATGTCCATTGTTGCCGATATTTTGTCCACTCTCATGACCTTCATGATTCTTCTACATACAGGATGGTAACAGACATTAATAGTTCTTTCTTTGATCACCACCTATTTACTACATCCCTTTTCTCTTTGTATTCACTCTTTCTTGGCTTTTCATTTACTTCCCTTTATATGTTCATCCAGCATCTAACTTTTCTCTTTTCCCTTGGGAAGTTCTGATGATTTGTCTGTTCTTCCCGACTTCTGTGTGTGAAAGCTCAGTTACCTACTGTAGCTTCTTGCTGCCTTTATCTTAACCACTTCTGATCTCATTCACATGCCATTGCAGTTTGCACTGATGGTTCTAAATCCTCTGAAGGTGTTGGGTTTGTAGCAGTATTTTTGGACAGAATTATACAAGGTCATATATTAGACCCAACTAGCATTTTCATAGCTGAGCTATATGCAGTTCTCCTGGCTGTTATACATATTGCATCCCTGCATACCTCAACATTTGTAGTAGTTTCAGACTCCTTCATTGCTTTATAGAATATTCTAAAATTTGATTCTCCTCATCCCCTTGTTCTCTGTACACAACTTTGGTTGTGCCTCATTTCTAGTAAAAACAAAGACATTTTTTCTATCAGGTCCCTAGACATATGGATGTTCGGGGCAGTGATCAGGTGGACTCTGCTGCACGGTTAGCCATTCATGACCACTTCATTTCATATTGGGGTATTCCATTCTCAGAATTTCTCAACTGTTTGGCAACAACGTTGGTCTGAGTTGATCCATAACAAATTGTATTCTGTCATACTTTGGGTTTCTAGTCTTATCACTGCTGTAATGTTTGGGAGACTGCTCTCCCACCTGTGTACTGGACACATGTCTCACGCATGGGTATCTCATGAAGAAGCACTCAGTGCTGCTCTGTGAGAATTGTTTAGTTCTTTTGTCAGTTCACCATTTACTAATAGACTGTCCTATTTGTCAGTGGACATGCAGAATTTACCTCTGGTATTGTCACCACCCTAACTGAGTAACTTTGTCTGACCTCCTCACTGACAGCCCCACCTTTGATGCAGGCTTCCTCTTTGACTTTTTGTCTGCTACTGCCTTATTACACCAATTTTGATTATATTTTTCCCTTTAGCAGTTCCCACTACCCTTACTGACTCTTGCCTCTTGCATACCTAAACCCTCACTGGTCTCTGACCTTCACAGATTTCATCTTTAGCACATCCAGCCCTGCAGCACTGTATGTCCCTTGTAGGGTTAGTATTTAGCTTTGATTGTAATGATAATGATAATAAAAATAATAATAATATATTCACTGGTCTACAGCTACCACACTTGTCTTCTTTGTCCAGAGACTATCTGCTGCTGGGATGGGAAGACTTCACTAACAGCCGCTTACTCTACCTTGATGGAAGTGTTGCTCTTCCTTACAAGAAAAAGTATGTCAGGAAGATACTGGTGAGTAGTGATAGTGTGCATTCTTAGTGTCTGTTGTTAATATTAATAAATAGTTTGTGTTAGTGAGTAGTGATAGTGATTAGTGCTAGTGGGTGATAGTGGTGATATTGAATTATAGCTAGTGATAGTTGTTGTAGTGATACAGTCCTCCCTCACAAATCCGGCATCATTGGGACCTGTAGTGTGCCGGATTACTGAGTTTGCCGGATTATAGAGTGGTTAGGTTAGAATGCACTTAATAAAATTAGCCAACTTGACTTGCACAAAGTTCATTGAACATCAGCAAAAATCGAACATTTCCTCTACTTTGAGCTCAATTTCAAGGTACTTTTCATCATGAAAGCAATCAAAATCATGTCTATTTCTGTAATATATCTTCCATTCTATCAAATGAGTCCAAAAAAATGAGAATACAACCATAAAAACCATACGAAAACATACTGCAAAAAGGCGGCTAATGGCTGAGAAGTGAACTCCCTTATTTATCGTCCGTCTTTTTTATTTTTGTTGTACATTAAGAAGCATCTTTCCATCATACATTGCCCAAGTTTCAATGAGATAGCCCAACAAACAACTGAGAAAAAAAAATATTTACCAAAAATCATATATGGCAAGCCCAAGCCAGGTACTGGAAATAAGTCACTTTGTCTGACTTTTCTGGGTTATCCAAGGTTCTCTATACATACACTGCTACGTATGATAATCTATGTAACTGTATTTGTGTATACCTGAATAAACTTATTTACTTCTAGTCTGTCAACTGAGTACAAGAAACCGCCCATTCACTTATTTCAACTACCCAATAAAGTGGTCAGAAATTGGCAATTTGGCCGATTTCACACAAATTTCAACAGATGCCAATTTCAAAATAGTGTCCAGAATAAATAATGCAGACATTCCTGGCACTAAAATAACATTTTCTCTGTTCATTAGTCACGGCTACAAGCCCCTCTTATATTACTCTTGCTTACCATTTGGAATTTTTATTCACAAAAAAATGGAATATTTACTGTTATGCAGACTGCTGCATTATTGTAATAATTGTATAAATAATGTCAATCCATTCTTGAGTCCGTACTGGAATTTAGACTGGTAGGCGGACAGGTATTGAACGGTGACGTCATTTGTTTACTCTCGAGCTTCGCTAAAGAATAGAACATTTTCGCTACTGCGAGCTCAATTTCAAGGTACTTTTCGTCATGAAAGCAATCAAAATTATATCTATTTCTGTAATATATCTTTCATTCTATCAAATGAGACCGAAAAAATGAGAATATAACCACAACAACCATACAAAAATATACCGCTAAGCGGCCGCTAATGGCTGAGAAGTGAACTCTGCTATTTATGGTCTGATTTCTTTCATTTTTGGTGTACGTGAAGAAGTATCTTTCCATCATATATTGTCCAAGTTTGAATAAGATAATCCAACAAACAACTGAGAAAATAATAATAATAATATAATAATAATAATAATAATAATAATAATATCTTTATTTACTATATGTACACGTACAAGGTATACAGGCCTAGCTGACATCAGTGACATACTATGTATAGAAAGCTGCTTGTTATGCAGAGTATTTCAAGAAAATTAGGTCAGTGTCCCAGGATAACACCCATACTAGTTGACTAACACCCAGGTACCCATTTACTGACGGGTAAACATAGACAACAGGTGTAAGAAACACACCTAATGTTTCTACCCTGGCTGGGAATCGAATATTTACCAAAAATCATATATGGCTAACCCAAGCCAGGTACTAGAAATAAGCCATGTTGACTTTTTTGGGGTTATCCTAGGTTCTCTACACATATACTGCTGTGTGTGATAATCTATAGAGAGAAAATAACTTTTTTGTTTCATGTTTATGGTGGAGTACGAGTGTATATCATAGTTAGCCTTGTGCTACACTCCGTTTTCTCTAATATAAGCCCCCAAGACAAGGATAGGAGAATGGTATTTGTTTACCATATCCTCTTCATAACTCTGTCGAACTGCTCGGTATTATGCCAAATATTATTTATTCTGGAGTATTTAACATGTTTTATGTTATTTATATTGTTTATTATGTCATATTAGATCAATTGTGATAGACAAGTAAGCTGTAGTGTTGATATTAGCGTAATAATAAAGCATATTCTCCTGCTTCATGAGACTGAGTTCATGACAACTGACAGTGGCTTTAAAGCCACCTTATCTTTAATGGATAATGTACTGCGTAGATGCTTTACATAATGAGAAGCATTTATTTTATTCATTGGAACCATGGCTAGGGCTAAAAGTAAGCAGGTTAAAACAATAAACGGAGAAAAAGAAATTTGAATAACTTATGCAGCAAGTAGTGCCATCAAACAGTATCAGCAGGTTGGTGTGGCAACCCTGGAAATTTGAAATTATGCTAGCCAAAATTAGTGCCGAATAACTGAAGGAACCGAGTAACTGATTGCCGGATTTGTGAGGGAGGACTGTAATAGTTTTAGTAGTAGTGGGTGATAATACTTTTGGGTAGAGAGGGTGGAGATGGTGGCTGATATATGGTAGCATTTTGTATGATAGTTCATTAGTCTTGTTACATTATATAGCAGCACTTTTCACCTTGGGTAGTAACACTTGTCACCACAGGTGGTAGCACTTGTCACCACAGGTGGTAACACTTGTCACCACAGGTGGTAGCACTTGTCACCACAGGTGGTAACACTTGTCACCACAGGTGGTAGCACTTGTTACCACAGGTGGTAGCACTTGTCACCATGGGTAGTATTACTATCACCGCAGGTAGTAACACTGTCTATTCAAGTGGTGGTCTCTTTACCATGGGTTAGTAATTTTTCATGCACTTTTTTCATATACTTTTTTTTGCATCCCTGACATTGGGGCACCCACCACCAGAAGTGGGAAGGAGTCACAATGCCGCCTCCAACACCCAGCCTTCAGCCTCTCCTTGCACCACTTCCTTCTACACTTGGTCCTCTTCAACCAAGGATCCAGATGGGCAATCACAAGAAAAAGAGGAAAAGGAGGAGGAAAAACAACCAGCTGAAGAAACAAATAAATAAGCAAAGAAGAAAGGAGAGACGAAGAAGCAAAACAGAGAGGGAGGCACTTTAAGCAAAGGAGGTAAAATGCAATATCTAATTTGTGGACATTGTGCATGTCAATTGTCAATCAAGTTAATTTAGGGGTTACCTTTAAATATAAAATTTAATTCTGATAAATAATAATTTTGCTATTATAATTTTTTTTACTTTTATAAAATTATTTACTTTGTAATCAGAAAGTTTCTGCGTGCAATTAACACAACTTGTACATCCCAAGGGATGTGAGCTGTCTCTTAAAAATAAACTCCCTTCAAATGTTTTGTTAAATGAATTGGTAGATGTAATGAGAATTGATCTGATACTATATTTAACTTGTTTAATTTGTACCAAGAGGAAACTCCTCAGTGTAACACAGCAAAGCTAAGAATTTATGAAATACAGCTTATTTCTACCTGACTTGGATCAGTCTTCAGTTCTTGAGAGTTGACATCTTAAACCACAAATAGACTGGTGTGATACTTCCCCAGCACCATGGGCTGTGTTGTATTTACACTCAAACCCTTGTATGGAGTTATCCTCCACTACAGTTGTATACTCCACTTGCTCATTGACCTTACACTTGAGGTTCATTCTTGTATCTCTTACACTCATTTTAGTTTCTGTATTCTGTTTGTATCCACTTGCCTTGGTTTACTGATGTGTCCCTTTGTTTTAGTTTACTGATTTCTCTCTACTTACTTTGGTTTACTGATTTGTCTCTCTTTGTCTTTGATTACCAGTTTGTGCTTCCTTGGCTTGGTTTATTGTTTTGTTTCATATACAGTGGACCCCCGGTTAACGATATTTTTTCATTCCATAAGTATGTTCAGGTGCCAGTACTGACCAAATTTATTCCCATAAGGAATATTGTGAAGTAGATTAGTCCATTTCAGACCCCCAAACATACACGTACAAACGCACTTACATAAATACACTTACATAATTGGTCGCATTCGGAGGTAATCGTTATGCGGGGGTCCACTGTAGTTGGTCTATCCTTGTCTCCTGGTCTTGGTTTACCCTTTGCCTCCTGGTCTTGATCTACCTTTTGTCTCCTAGTTTTGGTCTAACCTTTCTCTTTTTTTTTATGCAATAAAAAAGAGATTATCATTCTAAAATACAGCATTTATTGCATTTAAATGAAAAAATACTATCAGGTATGCTTTTTAGTCATATTTGAGATACTGCACATAAATATTTACTGTACATAATTATATAAGAAAAGCAAAAACTTACCAATTAGGGTATTTTTGCCCACTAGTGGTGGGCATTAATCCTTTCACTGTCAGTTCTGAGATTAAAAGTGCTGACAGTGTTAGAATTTAACCGCTTAAGGGTCGTGCCATAGTTCTATGGCTTTGAAGCCAGGGTCAGTGCCATAGTACTAAGTCATGAACTCAGCTCACTCAGATAAGCTCTGAGTGGTAAATTTAGGCCTTGATATGAAAGAATGGGTCTTACATAGTAAGTGTGCACCATATACAAGAAATCCTGCAGCACACAGTGCATAATGAGAAAAAAAAAATGCGACCGTATTTTTGGATTAAAACAGCGACTTTGCAGTGTATCTTCCAATGGTTTTTATGGTTGTATTCATGGTTTCTAAGTCTCATTTGATAGAATGGAAGACAAATTACAGAAATGCAAATGATTTTGATTGGTTTTAGGAACGAAAATAGCTTGAAGTTGAGCTTAAAGTAGCGAAAATGTTCAATTTTTGCTGATGTTCAAGAGAAAACAAATTGCATCCTGCATCCAATACATGCCAACTGGTGGGTCTAATGTACATTAATGAATGCACTGATATTATTTATACAATTACTGCAGTATTGCCTAACAGTAAATCTTATATTTTTTGGTGCGACTTAAAATTCTTTGTGAATAAAAAATCAAAATGGAATTCATGTGTAAAGCCTGGATATGTAACTAAAGAACAAAGGAAATGCTATTTTAGTGCCAGGAATACCTGCATTGTTAATTCTGGACCCTGTTTTGAAAATGAAATATTTTGAAATTTGTGTGAAATTGGCCAAATTACCAATTTCTGATCGCTTTATTGGGTAGTTGAAATACTTGATTGGGCTGTTTCCTGTGCTCAGTCGATAAAACAGAAGGCATACTAGTGAAATAGCTAAGAATTTGGTCGACTGGAACAATGTACTTGGCCTAAAGTAGGAGTCAAAGTAGGCAAAATTGCCGATGGGATTGCTGACAGCAAAATTTGCGAGTGTTATTTTGTCAATTTTCCATCAAATTTTGTACTTTGTTTTATTACCTTTGGAAAAAGATTCTCTACCATTTCATAAGAAAAAAATAACAATAATATTTTTTTTTGAAAATTCTTATACCTTGTGGACACTTTTCAGATGGGGGTCTGAACCCTCAAGGGGTTAAAAAACAAATTCTGAAATGGTAGAAATTCTTTTCCTGAAGATAATGACACCAAAAATATGAAATTTGATGGAAACTTGCGGAATTAGTAAGGTGCAAGGTTGGCAGTCCGGGTGCAATTTGTGCATTGGCAACTTGTCCCAGATTTGAGCCCTATTTTAAGCCAATTCCATTGTTCATTTCAACCAAATTCTTAGCTATTTTGCTAGTATGTCTTCCATACCTGGAGTATACCTGTAGAGGGTTTTGGGGGTCAATGCCCCTGCGGCTCGATCTGAGACCAGGCCTCATGGTGGATCAGTCTCGTCAACCATGCTGTTACTGCTGGCCGCACGCAAACTGATGTACAAACCACAGCCTGGCTGGTCAGGTACTGACTTTAGGTGCCTATCCAGTGCCTTTTTGAAGACAGCCAAGGGTCTCTTGGTAATCCCCCTTATGTATGCTGGGAGGCAGTTGAACAGTCTTGGGCCCCTGACACTTAATGTGTTCTCTCAGTGTACTCGTGACACCCCTGCTTTTCATTGGGGAAATGTTCCATCTCCTGCTGAGTCTTTTGCTTTCATAGGGAGTGATTTTCGTGTGCAAGTTTGGTATTAATCCCTCTAGGATTTTCCAAGTGTATATTATCATGCATCTCTTGCCTGCATTTCATACTATTATTATTATAATAAATGAAGGGCTAAACCTACAAGGGTCATACAACCTTCCATACTGAGCATAAGAAGCCACCCATTTAATTATCAGAACTACTCTATAAAGTGAACAGAAGTCATTAATTTGACCAGTTTTACACAAAATTTAAAAATTAGTTTAAAAATTAGAGTCCAAATTAAACACTGTAGACATTCCAGGAACTAGAGCGACATTTTCTCTGTTCATTAATCATGTACTCAAGCCTCTCCTATATTACATTTGCCCTCTATTTTGCATTCATCATCACCCAAAATATGAAAGTTTTATCCTATATTTGGACAAAATATAACCAGGAATGATTGGTCATAGTTTAAGATATTCCAATAATTGAAGCAAGCTTAATAAAAACCCATAAAACAGACTGGTGGGTGTAGGGGGTCTTATCCGTTCTCAGGAAAGTTGTCAAAAAATAAAATATTTCCATTACTTTGACCCCAATTTCAAGCATCTTCTGTCCTGATATCAAGAAAGCCAATAAAATCATAAAAACCATCCTTGAAAACATCTCAGAGTTGCTATTTTAAATCAAACACAGGGTCAGAGGTTTGCTTTTCCTATTATGTACTGCATGGGGCAGGATTATTTTTATACTGTGTACATTCACTGCACACACCCATTCTCTCATATCTAGGTCAAAATTTATCACCCACAGTTTATCAGAGAGAACTTGATTCAAAACGTAGTTCTGTGTGAGCGACCCTGGCATCAGTAACAGATCTATGTTCAAGACAATGATTGAGTTAAAGTTTACCAAGTGTTGCACATATCTTATTTACACACTTGTCAGTATATGATGCTGTACTCTCTTCTCATATTTGTTACCTTGTCTTCATCTACTCATTTATACCATTGTCTTGGTCTGTCTTTTTTTATTATTCCCCTGTTTAGGTGAACTAGTTCATGTCCTCTTGTCTTGGTTTACTGATTTCAAATATTTGCTATACAATTGCCTTTTCAGCACCTTATGAATATCTTACATATTGTGACTCAGATCACCTTTATGTGTTTTCATATTTTTGTCTCTTCATATGTATGTTGTATTTTTACCTTCTCATCCACAGGAGGTGGGTGAGAAGGAAGCAGCAGAGCTCAGGCACCAAGGTGGCTATGTTTGGTCCAGTTGCTGAAAAACTAGGAAGAGTTTAATGGGGAACACAGTTTGACAGCCTCTCAAAACAGTTTTGTAGGGATAAATAAAATAGGCAAGAAAAATTCATTCTATATTTCATGCATGAAGTTTTGTATCAGTAAGCCTGGAGTTAAAATTCTGGATAATGAATTAGTGACGTCATGTAGGCGTTGTTCTTCCTAGTTGATAATAGAAGAAAAGTTGCAGGAGTGGTTAGGAAAAAACCTTTGATTCTTCTTCTCCTCCAGAACACTTACTCAGTTTTTTGGCTTGAGGAATTATATCTACTGTGAACACTATTCAACCTTTTAGATCTATAGGTGTTAGATATCATTGTATGCAAAAAAATATATGTTTATATATTGTATTTATTATAGTATAGTAGACCTTCAATAAAATGGACTTTTAAAATTATGGACAGTATCCACTGGTTAAATTGTACTTGTAACCCCTTTATTTTCAATATTTATTGAAGTACATGTATATATGTAAATTGTATGCATAGTATAATATTAGGCATATAGTAGAGTAGTGTATTAATTTGCTATTTTTCTTTTTACCATTATTCTGATTTAACACTCAAATAATCCCCCCCCCTTAGTATATTACAGTAGGGCCCTGCCTTAGGGCATTTCACCTTACAGCGTTTCGCCTTATGGTGTTCTGCTGATACGGACATTTTAAATTATGACCTAGACTCGCTATATGACTCCCCCTCCCCCCACCTGACTTTCTAATAATATCACCACGCTCCACCTGGCTTGCTTACATTCTCCGTGATCTCTGCCTCTCTCCATTATGTCTGGAAACTTTCCAGAATTTCAAGAGTTTTAAAGTAATCTCACATTTTATATTGACTGTCATTCTATGTCGCAAAATTTTTGGAAAAAAAAAAATGATTTTTTCTTATGAAATGATAGAGATTCTTTTCCCAATGGTAATGACACCAAAAGTACGAAATTTGGTCAAAAACTCGTGGAATTACGCTCCCGCGAAGTTAGCAGTTTTGGCGACATATACGCATCAGCGATTTCGCTGACTTTGAGCCCTGTTTTTGGCCAATTCCGTTGTTCCAGTTGACCAAGCTCATAGCTATTTCTTTAGTACTGTATTTTTTCTATCAGTTGAATACAAGAAACCACCCATTTACCGATTTGAACTACCCAATAAAGTGGTCAGAAGTTGACAATTTGGCCAATTTCACTCAAATTAAAAAAGATGCCAATTTCAAAATGGGGTCCAGAATAAACAATGTAGACATTCTTTCCACTAAAATATCATATCCTCTGTTCATTAGTCATGTCTCTAGGCCCCTCTTATATTACTATTGCTTTCTATTTTGATTTTTTTATTCATACAAAAAATACAAAATTTACTGTTATGCAGACTGCTGCATTATTGTAAAAATGGTATGAGTAATATCAGTGCACTAGTGAAAAAATATTAGACTCCCCAGTTGACGTGTATTGGACATGTGGTGTGATTTGCTTACTCTTGAACATTGGTAAAAATCGAACATTGAGCTCAATTTCAAGGTCGTTTTCATTGTGAAACTAATCAAAATCATCTCTATTTCTCTAATATGTTTTCCATTTTATCATGTGATACCATGAAAACGAGAATACAACGATAAATACTATATGAAAATACACGTCAAAGGTGGCATTTTAATAAAAAAAAAACAGTCTTTTTTTTTTCTCATTGTGCACTGCATGCTGCATGATTTTTTTATGTGGTGCACACTGACCACACAGACCCATTCTCTCACATGTGGGCCTACCAGCTTTCTCCTGCTTGATTTGAAGCCACTAGAATTTATGCGTATTAATACTTCCAAAACACTGGCTCGTAAGACGTATATATACGACCGAAACAGTCAAAGGGTTAACGATGGAATTCCATTCCTAAGACCACGTCGGTAAACAAATTCATTGCTAAGTGAGGAGCATACTATAATGGTAGTCGGTTTGTGTCAACCATCTTTGATATTGTTTTAATGTCACCTTTGCACCATTTATAACTTTTTAGTATATATTTAAATGTTTATACAGTAGTATACTGTATATTGTAATAAACAGAATAGAGGAAATTATCTCTAATATACATTATTTAGGTTTGTATACTGGTTAGAGAGCTCATCATAAGTCTGAGTTGTCAGTAAATGAGTACGTCGCTAAGTGAGGAGAGGCCATACTGATAATTATACTTGTGTACCTGTACCTAAATAAGCTTACACATTGTGCTGGCATGCAGGTACACATTAAAATCACTAAGAGTGTCTTATTAGTCTCGAAGATGCCATGTTAATAATGATGATAATAAAACGTAGTAATAATCACTCTGAGGCACATTAAGTGTCACAAGTTATGTTAATATAAGCATTTTCATTAATCCATCTATGATAAACATGATAAATACACCCCACTGTAGAATAAATTAGCATAAATATGAGATGCTTTTCCAGTCGTCTTGACGGAAAGAATAATGTTTTCTCTAGTCCAACATCAAAGAAAATGCGCAGAAATGTATTACTCGGGGTAACTGTAGAAAATTATTCCTTTCGTATGCATTCACTCGGAGCATCATTCCTTCTAAAAGTGATGTGTTACATGAGAATGGGAGTGTTGCTCTTTATTTATTCTGCTGTACCAACATGGAGACAACTTGTACACAATGTAAGGTGTTTGTATTATGGTATAAGTTTCATAAACATAGAAATGAATATGTATGAACCAGACCCATTCGTCTGTTTGTTTACATACTCCGCGTCTCTCCTCTTTCATTTACTCGTTCTCTCTCTCGTTTATTCATTTTATCTTGTTTATCCACCTCTCACTCTTCACTAAGACTACAAATATTTTAAGGTAAGTAATGAGTGTATTGTGTGTGTATTTTGCTTTTTATTGTTTTTAATGCCTAGTTCCATTGCTAACTTAATATATGTTAGTGTAAACTTGTTATCTGGAATTTATATGCATATACATACATGTGTAAGTGGAAAAAATGGCATTCTGCTTTCTGGCAATGTCCGCTTTCTGGTGGTAGCCTGGAACCTAACCTGCCGTATAAGTTGGGCCCTAGTGTATATTGAGGGTTTACTGTGCATTGCCATAATGAATGTACTTTTAAGCCACTTGGGACCTCATGTTCCTAAGAGAATACATAATGCTCTTTGATCACACAATACAATTGCATAATGCTCCTTGGTCACACAATGCAATCGATAAGTGCTACATGTGTTGTTTTCCACTTACTAATTGTTTACACCTACATTAGTTGACCCTGGCAAACCATCAAATGAAATAGCATGTTTCTTTAATAGACCTGTGCCTCACATTCACTTGCATGCACCCTGTGAATCACATGTACTTTCATGTCACTGGATAATGGTAATCCATTTTTTTATATATATATATATTACTGCTATTTGAGTGCAGTGTCTCTTACACTCATGGGTTTGATATTTGTGGAACATTGACTGCTTGTGGCAACAGATATGATGTTATCAGCATTAAGTTACTCATTGGGAGCTGTTTTGTTCTTCATAAGTTCATGTCCAGGTTCTCCACACTATATGGTTTGCCCAGAGTTCCCTACATGTTCTCTTGTGTGGGTTGTTTGTATTAGAGAGGAATTACTATGCCACAGTTGTGTACATACTGTAAATGCATCCCATAATAAATACTGATGTAATATACATGAACATCCTTTGTCCTTGAAAATTAAACCCATTCTTGTCTACTTAGATTGATAGGTTCATTGCATGTTCACAAGGTAGTTTCATTTGTTCAATATTTGCAGTCTTCGATGAGAATTGTACAAATGTAGGTGTGGTCATCAAGGTATTATGTCAGTTGCATTTCTGTAATGAGTTCATGCAATATGTACTCTTGTTGATCTTTAGAATTTGAGCTGCTATCTTCTTTTAATCAAGACTTGGAAGATTTTGCATTCTTCCGTGAATACACTTACAATAATGGGCAATATTTAACCCTTTGACTGCTCAGACCCCCCAAAATTAATATTTCTCCCAGTGTCCACTTAAGAAAAAACTAGTTTTTCTTCTGAAATGGTAGAGAATCTTTTTCTGAAGGTAATGACACCAAAAATGTGAAATTTGATGGAAAGCTTACAGAATTACGCAAGTGCAAAGTTAGTGGTCTGGGCATGATTTATACATTGGTGATATTGCTGACTTTGAGTCCTATTTTAAGTCGGTTCCATTGCTCCATTAAACCAAATTTTTAGCCCATTCGATTACTATTACAACTGCTGTATGGAGTGCACAGAAGTTGGTAACTTGGCCAATTTTACACAAAATTAATAAATGCTAATTAAAAAATGGTCCAAAATAAATAATGTAGACATTCCTGGCACTAAAACATTTACTTGGGGGGTGTAGGGGGGCTTTACCTATCCTCAGGTCTTCCATTCTATCAAATGTTCCAAGAAGTAGTCAGTAAAACCATAGAAAAACCATCTAAGAAAACACCTCAAAGTTGCTTTTTTTAAACCATCCACAGGGTCAGCTTTTTTTTTCCCTGTCATACACTGCATGATGGGAAACTTGTCTCACAAACCCATTCTCTCATATCATGGCCAGAATTTACCACTCAGTTTATCTGAGTGAGCTGAGCTCATGACGTAGAAGTTTGTGAGGGACCCTGGCTTCAATAGCGTAGTTCTATGTGACTGCCACTGAAAGGGTTAATTTCGGAGCTTCTGACAGTGAAGGGGTTAAAGTCAGTACAGCTTGAGTAAGTCATTACAGTCACAAGTACAACAACACAGGTTGCAAATGACAAATTGGTCAATTATAAATAAATTTCTTTGAATTTACATCTTTATGACCGAATTTTATGGTGATTTAATAGGTGCATTTTAACCCTTAACCCTTTCAGGCCCAAAGGGCCAAAAATCTGAAGTCATGAACAGGGCCCAAAGAATTTAACCCTTTCAGGGTCCGCCCGAAAAAGTCTAGGCTTTACGTTCGGGGCCCAAAACCCGTAGACACGCCTGAGCTCACTCACCGATAAACGTGATGGTACTTTTGGGGCCCCTGGGTTGAGAAAATACATCTATGTGGTTGTGTGCCCACAAAAACAGATCCTCGCACACTGTGATAAAGAGAGAAAAAAAAAAAAATCATGATTTTTCGATTAAAAAGCAACTTTTCAGTGTTTTTTCTATGTTTTTTTTTAGTTGATTTGCGATTTCTTGGTCTCATTTTATGAATGGAAAAAACATATTACAGAAAAAGAGATGATTTTGATTTGGGTTTTTGCATTGGAAAAAAGGCTTGAAATGAGCTCAAAAATAGCGGAAATGTTAAATTTTTGCCGATATTCAAGAGTAAACAAACAACCTCACACGTCTAATACACATCAGCTGGTGGGTCTAATATACATTCACAAATATGGTGATGATATTTATACAATTATTACAGTATTGCATAACAGTAAATCTTCTATTTTTTGGTGTGAATAAAAATTCATTATGTGAATAAAAAATCAAAATGGAATTTATTTGTAAAGCCTCAAAACATAACTAATGAACAGAGGAAATGTTAGTTTAGTGCCAGGAATGCCTACATTGTTCATTCTGGACCCTATTTTGAAATTGGAATATTTGAACTTTGTGTTAAATTGGCCAAATTAACAATTTCCGATCACTTTATTTTGTAGTTGAAACAGTTGACTTGGCGATTTCTTGTGCTCAATCGATAGAATAGAAGTAATACTAGTGAAATAGCTAAGAATTTGGTTGATTGGAATAATGTAATTGGCCTAAAATGGGAGTCAAATTCGGCAAAATCGCCGATTCGTAAATATCGCTGACACATCAAAATTCGCGAGAGCATAATTTCGTCAATTTTCCACCAATTTTCGTACTTTTTGTTTTATTACCTTCACAAAAAGATTCTCTACGATTTCATAAGAAAAAATAAAATTTTTTTTTTTTTAAATATCTTGGACACTGGTGCGTGACTCCAGATTTGGGCCTTGGACCCTGAAAGGGTTAAAAAACAAAAATTTGTTATATTTTCTTATGAAATTGTAGAGAATCTTTTTGTGAAGGTAATAAAACAAAAAGTACGAAATTTGGTGGAAAATTGACGAAATTATGCTCTCACGAATTTTGATGTGTCAGCGATATTTACGAGTCGGCGATTTTGCCGACTACATTATTCCAATCAACCAAATTCTTAGCTATTTCACTAGTATTACTTCTATTCTATCGATTGAGCACAAGAAATCGCCAAATCAACTGTTTCAACTACAAAATAAAGTGATTGGAAATTGTTAATTTGGCCAATTTAACACAAAGTTCAAAATATTCCAATTTCAAAATAGGCTCCAGAATAAACAATGTAGGTATTCCTGGAACTAAACTAACATTTCCTCTGTTCATTAGTTACATTTTGAGGCTTTACAAATAAATTCATTTTGATTTTTTATTCACATAATGAATTTTTATTCACACCAAAAAACAGAAGATTTACTGTTATGCAATACTGTAATAATTGTATAAATATCATCACCATATTTGTGAATGTATATTAGACCCACCAGCTGACGTGTATTAGATGTGTGAGGTCGTTTGTTTACTCTTGAATATCGGCAAAAATTTAACATTTCCGCTACTTTGAGCTCAGTTTCAAGCCATTTCCAGTGCTAAAACCAATCAAAATCATCTCTATTTCTGTAATATGTCTTCCATTCTATCAAATGAGACCAAGAAATTGCAAATACAACTATAAAAAACATACGAAAAAACACTGCAAAGTCGCTGTTTTAATCGAAAAATCATGATTTCAGTTTTTTTCTCTCATTATACACAGTGTGCTGCAGGATCTGTTTTATGTGGTGCACACATACCACATAGATGTATTCTCTCATATCTAGGCCCAAATGTACCACTCACAGTTTATCAGAGTGAGCTGAGCTCATGGCGTAGATCTACGGTTTGGACACTTACTGTAAAGCTGTAGATCTACGGGACGGACCCTGAAAGGGTTAAACTGACCAAATGTAGATCTATGTCCACATGCAGGGGGGGCTCTCAATGTAGATCTACGTTTTTTTTTACATGCTTTCAAATGAGGAAAATCAAGGTCGGAGTGATACGCATGTGAGCGTTGATCTACGTTTGGACAGTTTTTTTTTTGTTTTTGTTTTTTTCAACAAGTTGGCCGTCTCCCACCGAGGCAGGGTGACCCAAAAAAAGAAAGAAAATCCCCAAAAAGAAAATGCTTTCATCATCATTCAACACTTTCACCACACTCACACATAATCACTGTTTTTGCAGAGGTGCTCAGAATACAACAGTTTAGAAGCATATACGTATAAAGATACACAACATATCCCTCCAAACTGCCAATATCCCAAACCCCTCCTTTAAAGTGCAGGCATTGTACTTCCCATTTCCAGGACTCAAGTCTGACTATATGAAAATAACCGGTTTCCCTGAATCCCTTCACTAAATATTACCCTGCTCACACTCCAACAGATCATCAGGTCCCAAGTACCATTCGTCTCCATTCACTCCTGTCTAACATGCTCATGCACGCTTGCTGGAAGTCCAAGCCCCTTGCCCACAAAACCTCCTTTACCCCCTCTCTCCAACCCTTTCGAGGATGACCCCTACCTCGCCTTCCTTCCCCTATAGATTTATATGGTTTCCATGTCATTCTACTTTGATCCATTCTCTCTAAATGACCAAACCACCTCAACAACCCCTCTTCTGCCCTCTGACTAATACTTTTTTTACTCCACACCTTTTCCTAATTTCCACACTCTGAATTTTCTGCATAATATTTACACCACACATTGCCCTTAGACAGGACATCTCCACTGCCTCCAACCGTCTCCTCGCTGCTGCATTTACCACCCAAGCTTCACACCCATATACGAGTGTTGGTACTACTATACTTTCATACATTCCCTCCTTTGCCTCCATAGATAACGTTTTTTGACTCCACATATACCTCAATGCACCACTCACCTTTTTTCTCTCATCAATTCTATGGTTAACCTCATCCTTCATAAATCCATCCGCCGACATGTCAACTCCCAAGTATCTGAAAACATTTACTTCTTCCATACTCCTCCTCCCCAATTTGATATCCAATTTTTCTTTATCTAAATCATTTGATACCCTCATCACCTTACTCTTTTCTATGTTCACTTTCAACTTTCTACCTTTACACACATTCCCAAACTCATCCACTAACCTTTGCAATTTTTCTTTAGAATCTCCCATAAGCACAGTATCATCAGCAAAAAGTAACTGTGTTAATTCCCATTTTGAATTTGATTCCCCATAATTTAATCCCACCCCTCTCCCGAACACCCTAGCATTTACTTCTTTTACAACCCCATCTATAAATATATTAAACAACCATGGTGACATTACACATCCCTGTCTAAGACCTACTTTTACCAGGAAGTAGTCTCCCTCTCTTCTGCACACCCTAACCTGAGCCTCACTATCCTCATAAAAACTCTTTGCAGCATTTAGTAACTTACCACCTACTCCATATACTTGCAACATCTGCCACATTGCTCCCCTATCCACTCTATCATATGCCTTTTCTAAATCCATAAATGCAATAAAAACTTCCCTACCTTTATCTAAATACTGTTCACATATATGCTTCAATGTAAACACTTGATCTACACATCCCCTACCCACT